GAAAATTGAGAAGACTCTAGAGGTCCTGGAGGCTAGAGAGGTTCCATTAGTGTATAGAGAATTTAGTAGAGAGTCAAAATTGTGAGGTTATTTATGAATTAATTAATTAATTAATGAATTTAGTAGAGAGTCAAAATTGTGAGGTTATTAATAAATTACTAATTAATTATTAGTTAAGATGATTAATTAATTAATTAATTTATTTATGATTTACTTAGTTTAATAAATAATGATAGATGTCCCAATAAATTGTTCCTTAAATTTTAAAATAATTATCCAAATAGTTTAATTTGGATTTAACACAAACAGTTTTCAGAATTAACCTACATAGGATTTATTGAATTTAGAATTCTAAGATTAGTGAATTCTGCTCAGCTTAAAACCAACTTGCCGCCAAACAGTACACTAATGTATGTTGTATTTAATTTTTCGGTAATGCTCCCTAGAAAAGATAGGCTATTGAGGTGATTATTCTATTCAGGGATTTCGTTAGATTTCTTTGCTTTAGTGGAAATATAATTCCAGGACTTATTATGCTTTTTTTGTAGGGCTTACCGCCAGAATCAGTGACCAGACATGCACGATGGCTGATGTTTATGGTGCTTTTTATGATTTCTCTTCTTTGCTTGAGACAAAGGTAAACTGTTATCATATAAATTCAGAGCTTTAGAAGGTTATTTATGAATGTCTAACTTTTTTAATATTTGTAAAGTGATCTTCTATCTATATACATCTGATTATCATCATTAATGGAATTCTGTTACATCTATAAGTTTCATGGGCATCCTTCCTCTTTTAACTAATTCAACAAATCCCTCTTCATGTGTGATGAAATATATTTTTGCGACTTTTGTAAGAAAGAGTAATTGTAGGTTGGATTTCACGAAACATCATTACTTTCCATGTTGGAAAATTGAAAATGCAAATGACAAATGTGGAAACAATGCATGGTAATTTGGTTTACATACTTTTTTTTGGGTGCTTGATGTTTCAACTAATGAAGGGATCTCACTATAAGCCAGTAACATGCATCTATTCAGCCATAACTGAGATGAACTTGCCGTTTTAAAATCCACAACCAAATAAGTTTTGCAATTAGCTTTTTCTTTTGTGAATCAATATTTCCCCGTTACTGTTTTGCACTGTGCCTACATATACTGCCGAAGGATTGAATTTGTTACCTAATAAATCCCTACAAAATGATAGCATATTTTTCGATGGCATATAAAGATTTCAATTAGTTAAAGTGATTTTCAACTTGATTTAAGATCCTCATGTTACCTAATACAGTCCCACGTCTTTCCTTGACCAATTTACTTTTTTCCCATTCTTGCCATCTTTCAGTCCAACAAACAAGCTTTTGGATGAATTCAGAGAAATAAACTTAAATTTAAACTGCAATCCCAAAAAGTTCTACAGAATGAAGCATTTGAAATAAAAAATGGAACCAAGTTCTATTGAATTTCATGCGGTTATATTAGGCTAGGAAGTAACTTCTTTTTCATAACTACAGAAGCCGATCATGATTAAAAACACCAAGCATCTCTTTTTATTTGCCGCCTCTTCAATCCCTCTATTTGACGAAAATCCTATTGTATTTATCAACTTATAAGATTTGACGAAAATTCTATTGTATTCATCAACTTATAAGGTGTATTTCAAAAGAAAATGGCACAAAAAGATTAATGAGATGCATTTCAATTCGGTAATGCAGATTGATGAGAATGATCCTAATGCTAGTCTCACTCGCAAGCGTGCGGATGCTATAAAGAAAGCATGCGTATCTTCTGGTTTACTAAATAAGAGGTTAGCGCTCATTTGGCCATAAACTAACCGTTTATTTACTTATTATTATTATTATTATATTTGGTTTGATCTCTTTAGTGTAATTTATACACTATTATTTGTCTCTTCAGGAGGCTCTATGTGGAGAGAAAGGGGTCCATGTACAGTTCGCAATTGGTGAGCTCTTACGCTAATGCTCATACTTAATGTTTCTAAAATCTTAAAATTTAATCTTATTTCATACAACCTTTCAACACAGATAATGGTCATTATCCTCCTTGCTATTTACTTTGCTGCACGCTTGATAAAATGATTCGTTCGAGCTATAGCTTTGTCGGGTTTCATCCATGGTGTAAACTTTGGCAGCAGTTAACAAAACGCTACCAGGTATTATTCTTGTTACCGCGCCACATCTCTATCGGGTAATTATTTATTGTCATACAAAATACATATTTTGTTGTAAGGAAAGATGTTTTAAATAATGTAGAGTTGATATTTCTTGGTTAAGATGTGTAAGAGCAGTGAAACTAACGGAGCATTTATCATTATCATTGATGGAAATTAACCATCATTTGTTCGATAAGCATGTATTTCTTGAATTTATGAGAAATTTACATTTCAAATTCTATTAATTTGAAGATGGGTGAGAACGTAGTATTATGAAAATTACGCCTCCTCTCATTCAAAGAATTATCAATAAAAAATATTGATGCATTTGATGGTGGACAAAAGGGCTTGTTATTCATGAATAATTCTTATTTGGCTTGTTAAGTAGCTCGTGTTCAATTCGTTCACTAAGTAAACGAGTTGAGCACAAATATTTTTGCACTTGATTTATAAATGAATCGAACACAAACAAAGATTTATTTGTCTGCGTTCAACTCGTTTTGATTAGAAAAATTTAAATTATATTTCTATAATTGATAAATATTATTTTAAGAAATTTAATAGACTATAGGATTTATAATCAATTAAAATTATTAATTAAAAAATAGATAAAAAATTATTAAATTTTATTTAAAAGAATATTTTAGTATAAATAAATAAAATTTAAATTTAGCTCATAACTTTAATATTCTATTGTTGCGTGAAAAAGACAATCAAAACAGATTGTTGTTCGCGAAATAAATTTTAAATTGCGCCACATCTCTAAGTTAAAAGAAATAAATTTTTTACGCTCGATATATGAATGAGTTGAACACGAACAATAATATTTTTTAATGAGCTGAGCCAAGTCTATGTTTGCTCAAGCTAGACTCGGTTACACATTATTTCACCCGAACGTCCGACTATCGGGTGTCACGTTGCAATACACCATCAATAGGAGACGTGACGCCCTGTGATGGGCAGTTCGGGCTGAATATTTTTTCCTTACGGAAGCACTCTCCTTTCTTTGTTATCAGCAATAGATCATATCTTAGCCCAATAGTGATTAATACTATCACAAGTTTTTACAAGAATTGTACAATCAAGGTACAAAGAGATTGCAAGCTACTTATCATAAAAACAAATTGCAATGAAACTAAATATTGAGAGAAATTTAATACTTTAATTTGATTTCAAAATTTTTGAAAAATAAGAATTAAGAACTTATTATTATCACTATTATTAGTTCTTGAGTATGACCTTTACTCATTATACTCTATTGATACATGTCAATATACGCATAGAAGTGAGAGGAGGGTTTAATAAATGCATACCTGAAACATTGAAATCATTAAAGGTTTTAGGTTTCATGAGGAATGAAGCTTCAATGAAAACAGGATTCTAGATGAGAAAAATATTAATTCTCGCAATAGCAAAACTAAATGTAGTCCATATATTGCATTTAAGAATAGTAGATTTATAATTTCGAGCACAAGCCACTTGAAATGATTCACTAAGTTAGTGAAGTCTTGTTAATTGCATATATATATATATATATATATATATATATTTTGCTTAATTATTTGTT